ATAATGAGACTATTCGACTACCATTTGGACGAGCAGTTGAACGGTATCTTTACTCACTTCCCATCTCTCATAGCATCCGATACAAAGTTCAAAGCAGAAAGAGAGTAAATGATATGATAAAACGAGGGCTTATAACAGTTGAACATGTAGAAGGTTCTATAGACTATCTTGGCTGGAAAACTAAAAAAGGCCAATGTAAATCGACAAATTGTCTCGATGATGTTTTGCGGCTTACTGAAAATGGAAAACATCGAGTTCAACAAATACGTGCTAATGAAGGAAATGATCTTCAAGTTTGGCAATGGGTCTGGTTTTGTTCCGGTGAAGGTGGTTGTCAGAGATCTTGTGGTGGGATTGGTAAATGTGTAGAAACATGTAATCACTATGCAAATGAACATAACAGTAAAAATCCTCTTGATATGCACAAGTACAGTGTACGAGTTATTACTGAGCTTATGCTTTCTGAAGTTGATACTGATTTTCCAGTGCATATGATTATTAAAGGAAACCATGTTCTACAAAATATTATTCAAGAAAAAACTGTGCTGTCTCGAATTAATTTGAGTCGAGAAGTATGAGACCTTGCAATCACAAGTCATCGAGCTGACAAACGAACAACAAAAGAAATTAAGATGAAGTTACTTGCATCGCATAATGGTGCATCACAAAATGAACTTGAACATCTATATCATCAACACTCTATATATGATGAGTTAAAGCTTCATCAACTTATTGAAAGAGATAATTTATGCACATGAAGACAAGTAGGTCCATGGACGACAGTGCATGAGTTGGTAACTAATGTATTGAAGCAAAAAGGTGTTGTATTGTATTACCAACAACCAGACACAAATGCACCTGAAAATAGTTCAGAGAGATATTATCAACTTACCTTGAGTGATGATTTATGGCTTTAACAAGCATGTGACTTTGGTTTTTTTTGCTTCGATATTGATGGCAAGTACGATTTAAACAGTGACGGGGCTCTGATTTTGTCTCTAGTTGTTGAAGATAATGCAAGATATGGAACATCAATTGCATTTGGAGTATCAAACAAAGAAAATAACTATACTATTAGACTTGCTGTAGAGGCAGTTCAATGAAATGTTCCATGCAATAATTTTGACTGTTTATATGAGTATCATTATGAAGAACTATCAAATGACAAAGGATTTATGAGATTTCGGAATTGTGCACCAATATGGCAACTATTTGCAATGATCGATAAACATCGACCAACAAAGTGGGGACTACAACCTATTTTACGTAGTTTAATCTTATGCTGGTTCTATATAATGCAAACATTCAGTGTACACCTTAAAGACTTGCGAATTGATAATTGTTACTGGTACCCCATCGCCATTGCTTTTAAAATAGTAGGTAGAAGTAGAAGTAAAGAGGAAGCTTTGGAGCTTGGTG